TTCCAGGAGATCATTTCTCGCTTTAAAACTATTTGTGTTGATAGCCGTCTGATAGCCGATAGCCCATAGAAAGTTGATGCATTGAAGATAATTCGCAATCCAGCTGGTTTCGCGGACAACATAAGACAACAAAACACTGCAGGATGGCTTGACCGGCAGTGCCTGGGGAGATTGGGCCAACTACACTGCTTCTCCTTTGCGGTGAGTTGGACATGCTGCAGCAGGGAAAGGAAAAGGAAGTGAAGGGCAAGCTTCTGGCCTTATTGAAGGCAGTTGGTGCACTGTTTTTAAGCTGAGGGTCATGAATGTTGAATTTTCTTTGCATTCCCTTTCAGTGCACTTTGGTTTGTTGGCATATCTAGCAAACAGTAACATGGGCATGTGACATCTCAGGAGTAATTCACTTCAGCATGTCACCAATGAGCTCATCATTTGTCCACTTCTTTGGGGGGCCTTGCTTGTAGGTGGCTTGGTTTGTGGGTCCTGCATTTCGCATTTGACGGTTCCAAGGGCACCGCATTGACGAGCTGGGGCAAGGGATGGTACTACGGCAGCTAGAGGTGTGGCAAGATATTGGCGGCGATCGATAGAGGGAATGGAAGGTGCTCCATGGATCTATATATATATATCTATTCTATATGATAATTACTAATTACTAGTAGCAAGGACGCTACTCGGTGGAGGCCATCGCTATTAGGTTGGAGGCCATCGCTACTAGGAACAAGACGCTACTAGGAATGGTGTCGGTGCTCCATGGATCTATATGTGTGCACTCAGAATGTACTTCCTGGCTACTAGTAGCTTCTTGTTACTTGTAGGCATGGCCTCCAACCTACTTGCCATGGCCTCCACCTAATAGCATCCTTGTTTACTAACTACATCTACTTACTGTATCCAGTTCTTCAAGCCTTTTTCCTAACTTTTATCGCCTTATGAGAGCAGAGCTGCCAGAGCTGCTTGTTTCCTGGACGATTCGACGAAGCCTTCGTCTTCCTTCGACGAAGCAGATGACGAAATTGGTTTCAACTTCAATAGATTACGCTCGATGGAGCCAAAACAAAACTTGAGCTGCTTTTGCACAACTAAATTTTCCCCTTTTCATTGCTGTGCTATGAACATGATTGAATGACATTGCAAGAATCCTCGTATATCTTTGTTCTCCAACATCAGTTCTAAACCTTCTTTGCTCCGACCTCCTCTGCAGGGCTCCTCCCACGACTTCCTCTGGGGCTGGGCTCCCGAAAAGCCGCCCAGCCAGGCCGTAGCTCATGGGTCCAAGGGTCGTTTCGGTCGCTGGTAGCTTCTTGTTCCTGGTAGCAAGAATGCTCCTAGTAGTAATGCCCTTTGTTCCTAGTAGCGTCCTTGTCACTTGTCCAGTTTTTCTCCAAACAACTCAGCTTGGGTGTCCGGTTTCGGGCTTCTGAAATGGCAAGGAGTCGGAGGGTTCCTCTCAGCGTTCGTGGCCCAGCTTCACTTTTGTGTGCTCTCACGCGTGCCCGTTCACGTGTGCTTGCATATGTGCTCACATGCGTGCTGCAATGTGTGTTCGCTCTCATATGTGTGCTCTCAAGTGTGGGGTGTGTGTGTGTGTGATTGTTTGTGCTCTCATGTGACTCAAACTATGTGCTTTCATATGTGTGGTGTTATGTGCGTGCTCTCATGTGTGTGTGTGTGCCCTGATATATGCTCTTAACATATCTTAAACGTGCGCTTTGATGTGTGGTCTCTCATATGTGGGTGTTCTGATGTGATATGTGCGCCCTCATGGGTCCTTTCACATCTTACTGTTCGTGGGTCCTGTTTGGTGTCCTTTGCCCGTGACATTTGTGGGGCAACATAGGGCTTTCTGCTACTTGATCTCCATGATTTTTTATGTTGAAACGGAGAGGGTTCGAAGTTTCAATCCGTGCGTTGTTAGGCTTCGCCTTCTTGTGAGTTTGGAAGGTCAAAGGATTTCTGCATCCGCAAAGCCTGAGCAACGCATTCGCCCCAAGCAATGCACTCTGCAGGCACCTCATTTGAAGGAGTTCTTCAGGGGCCTTGTTTTCGCCACCATGAGCGATGCGAACGGCCTCGTGCGGTTCCTGGAGGGCACTCGTCCGGGGATTCTTGTTTCTATCCGAATCCTTAGAGGCCAAGAAGTGTTTTCACGGCGAACGACTTTTGGTTTTCACGGCAAATCCTTAGATGTCAAACGAAGGACTTTTGGGCACCATTTCTCTCAACAAGATCGCTTTTTCGCGCTCCGGCAAGCCTGAATTTCTGTCCCTGATTGCAGGTTGAGGGGCTCGACACTGAGTTTTTGGACTACTATGTGCCTCAGCTCAGCAAAACGTTCAGCACAACGTTGGTGCAGCTGCCTGTGCTTGCGATGAACATATACAGGACAGGAATTTGCATGATGCATATTAAATTACCGGTTTTCGACAAGTTTGTTGCATCAAGTCAACTGCCGGTGAAGGACTGCAAAGGCTCTTGAGATTTGAATTTATACTTCACACCTCTTCATAATACTAGTTTGTGCTGAGGGTTTTTTAGCTGAATGGGGGTAGCCCGAGCACTGAAGAGCCCTGATTTGTAAGGTCCAAAGCCATCCAATTTTGGAGTCTGCGACTGTCCTCCAAAGAATCGTCACGGCAGACGTCCTGAAGACAGGCGACACGAGCGCGTTTGCACGAATGCCACGAGCGCATTCGCGTGTTCATGGTCATCCTCGGTGGGACTCTGCGGAATCCTGCTGAAGCTGTGATTGTCAATAATAGCCCACCACAGAACTGAGCTTTGGATCAAGACTGACACGACATACAAGCAGATGGATCCTCAAATGATCAGGGTCACACCTATGGCAGAATGCTGCTCCTTTGGGCTGCTTGGTTTTCTCGGCTCTTTCGGTGCCGGCATCGTGGCAAGGTCCCGACTCCACCGAGGAGGGGCCGTCGCATGTGGATCCCGAGGTGCCCTGGCTCGCACAGGTAGGTGAGGTGAAGGCCACAAATCCCCTGGGTCTAACGGTCCCGTTCGTAGCGTCCGATCGTTCCGTTCGTAGCCATGCCAGGAGCCCCGTTCGTAGCGTCCTATCGCTCCTAGTAGTAAGGCCAGGATAGGCCAGGAGCACCTGGATAGAAGTGGAGTGACAGACTTGTTAGACTGTTAGACAGGTGGAAACAGAAGTCCACTTCAAGCTCAAGAGGAACAAGGAGACGCTACGAGGAACAAAGGGCATCGCTACGAACGGGCCTCACTACTAGCAACAAGAACTCTACTAGGAGCAAAGGGCTTCGCTACTAGTAACAAAGGGCATTACTATTAATTAGTAGCATTCTTGCTACTAGGAACAAGAAGCTACTAGTAGCAAAGGGCAATACTACTAGGAACAAGGACGCTACTAGTAGCTCCTGGCCGTACTACTAG